TCTTTGAATTGCAGGTAAGTACTGCCTTGCGCTGTTGAATTCACCAGGCATGGACTAATGAGAAACAGGGTTCTACGCCAAAGAATGACTTTTGTAGAATCTTGTCACGCAATTCTGTCTTGGATCCCTTATCACTCGTTCTCAGTCGCGTGCTGGATGAAGATGGCGAATTAGCTGAGATCGTCGAGGGTCGGATTGCGAACATTTTCTTCATATTCTCGCAGGCCGAAAACCATGTGAAAGAAATGGTGGCAGAGCGAACAGTATTGCATAGTAAGGGAGCCGATAACACCGCTTTAAACTCAAATCAATCACTGACTCTCGGACTAGGAGTCCTGAAGGAATTAAGACGGATGACGCCGTCGCACCAGATCACTATGCTGAAGTTCATTAAGAACTTGTCAATGCTTTCTACAACACTGGACGCGCTTCAGAACTCAAATGCAATTGATGTTCTTACAGACTTGTTACGGTCTACCATCAAACGCCCACACTTCCGGGAAGTCTCCAACCAAATTCTCAACACTATCTACAACATGTGTCGCCTGAACAAGTCTCGACAAGAAGACGCAGCTTTGAATGGCATTGTGCCTCTTCTTCAGAAAATTGTGAAAACAGAGCGGCCTTTGAAGGAGTTTGCCTTGCCTATTCTTTGTGACATGGCGCATTCTGGGAAGGTCGGTCGTCGCGAACTGTGGCGTAACAAGGGACTCGCATTCTACATATCTCTTCTATCAGACCCTTACTGGCAAGTTACTGCTCTGGATGCTATTGTCAACTGGTCAGTGCTCGATTCCTATAACGGCTACCATAGGCTAACCGCGCAATTATAGGCTTCAAGAAGAAACTGCTAAGGTCGAGGAGCATCTCCTTGATAACCGTTATGAAAGAGTTTCCTTCACAGACTCTATTGTTAGGTGTTTGACCGTCTCCAAGGCAAACGCTTTTGAGAATCTCCTCGAGCCACTCCAGAAGCTTCTCAGGCTAAGCCCGCCGATTGCATCGACTTTCGCAAGACCCGACATATTCACCAAGATTGGACAGAAACTACGCCACAACAAAGCTGCGGTACGGCTCAATATGCTGCGCATTATATCGAGTATCTGCGATTCCAGCGAGGAGCAGGGTGGCCTTCTTGCCAGATATGGTCTCCTAGACGCAATTCGAGAACTCGAACATGACCCAGCAATTTTGGTCAGAGACATGGCCGGCAAGCTGATACAATCTAATGAGAAAAGTGAATCATATCACTTAGAAAAGCGCAAGCCAGGCGTTCGACGGCGGAGTAATTCAACCACACCACCGAGTCTGCTTGCAAATCAATCAGCCCCGGCCACTCCACAGATGAATCGGTTCAGTCAGTCAAAGGCTTACTTTGACGGGCGAGAAAGCCAGCGCCATCCGCGAAATGCCCTCGGTAACTCAGCACTGGCCCTCCGACCTGGAAGTCGAGATGGGCCAAGTTCCAGCCTCACGGCGGGAGCGCATCCCGTACCCGGGGCTTCGAGGAATAGGATTTCGCGAGGCGTCGGTAACCGACTATCTCACGTCGATTTCCTGGCGGAAGACGAGACCAGGCCTGCAAGCTCACTATCGCGTCGTCGCTCAATTCTTCCGCAGCGCCGTCGTCCGACACAGTCTGAGGCGGATTGGACGTCTAAAGCCCCTTGACTCAACGCCTCTATCCCTACTTGTGCTGCACCGATCGTGTCATTCGGATGTAGGGAACCTGACAAGCCTTCTGGCATGTTTAGGCTGCATTGAGGAAGGAGTCTCAGCGCTCTGCTTCTGAGTTTTCGCTACCTGCAGACCTGCTTTCTGGCCCATTTCGCCCGATCATCCAGCAGAGCTGCATCGGGACGCTTGAAACTGGACAGCTTAGGTAGCCTAGCATAGTGATTGGGGCATTGTATTTTGTTTGAGGAAGCTACAAGCTACCGGGATCCTGGGACTGATTCGTCGCAATGGCCGATACTTTGTAAATAACCATTGATGACATCCATTGCGGCCGTTCGCATGGGCGCTATGCATATTCAAATCAGGGAGAACGGAGATGGTGGTGTACAAAGGAACCAAGGAAAGGCGAACTATTCACATACTTCACATATGACTGCATATTGTAGAGAGAAAACTGTAAAAGCTTCCAAGTTCTCCGGTTGGTGGCGATCTTCGGGAGCGGAAGAGCGGCGATTGGCGATTCCGGCCAGGCAAAAAAAAAGGTCGCGAGGAAATTGCGACGCGGCGGTCACTGCGGCTTGCCTGCCTGCCCGCCCGCTTGCCTCCCTTCTCTCCCCATAGTCCTTCTCTCTCTCTATCTCTCTCTTTTTCTTTCTCTGCACTCCTTCTTTCACCAACCAAACCCTCCCTGGGATTCTGGTGCTGGCACGGATGAAATACACCGTTCAAGCCTTCGTTTCTGTCGACTTGTGGTCGCTCTCTAGACGGCATTGTTCGTGTTCGGGATGAGGGCGGCGCTCCGCATCCCGCTGCGGGCTTCTGCCAATTCTGATCCCGCGGTGGTCATACGATCCAATCTTGCCCACCTGAACTCCCCCTTAACTCGTCTGTCGACTTCTCCTATTACTTCTCGCCTGCGCTCCTCTGCAACCACACGCCCTTTGGCAACCCAGCGACCCCGTATCGTCGATCAAACACTATCACTACCCCCGTTTTGTACTCGAAATGCATCCACCTCCGCGACCTCGGCACGGAATGACACGAGGCAGTCTGGGCCTGGGAAATCGCACAACAAAGTACTCAAATATGTTGTGATCGGCGGAGCTATTGTCATTGCGGTATTAGCATACTCGGATGAGGTTCAGCACTACTACCGTGCGGCAGCGCGCACTGGACGAGTCGTCGGTGCACTCGCTATCTGTATCAATGAGTGAGTATACCCGATCTTTCTCTTCTGGCTGGGTAGGGCAGGCTTACTCACACATGGTCGCGCAATCAGTTACCGTGTTACCCTCAAGCAAGAAACGTCCACCCCTGGAGAACGGGACGAAGCGATCCGGGCCTGTCACAAGCGTTGCGCGGACCGCACGCTGCGTGTTCTCGAGCAGAATGGATCGATCTTCATCAAACTAGGACAACACCTGAGCAGTATGGGTTACTTGCTGCCCTTGGAATGGACGACAACCTTCATTCCTCTTCAAGACAAATGCCCCGTTTCGTCCATCGAGTCCGTTGAAGCGATGTTCGTGGCTGATACTGGTCGTCGTATCGATGAGCTCTTTTCGTCCTTCGACCCACAGCCGATTGGGGCCGCTTCCCTCGCCCAGGTGCATGTTGCTACGCTCAAGGAAACCGGTCAGAAAGTCGCGGTCAAGGTGCAACATCCTGCATTGGCAGAGTGGGCGCCGCTTGATTTGGCATTGACTCGATTCACCTTCTCGACGTTAAAGCGCTTCTTCCCGGAATACGATTTGGAATGGCTGTCGAAAGAGATGGACCTGTCTCTGCCACAAGAATTGGATTTTCGGATGGAAGCTGAAAATGCTATGCGGACAAAGGAATACTTCAAGAAGCATTCAGATGCTCCACTAGTCATTCCGGAAGGTGTGTTATCTACCTAAGCATACATGTGGCCGAGTCGATTGGCGGACTAACACGATTATTAGTGATGTGGGCTCAGAAGCGTATTCTCGTTATGGAGTTCCTTTCCGGACGACGACCCGATGACCTTGAGTTCCTGGATTCCAATCACATTGACCGGGATGAGGTTTCCGCTGCATTGGCACATATTTTCAACGAGATGATTTTCGGCGACAACGCTCCCTTGCACTGCGATCCACATGGCGGGAACATCGCCATCCGTCCCAACCCCAACGGTCGTCGTCACAACTTCGATGTCGTACTTTACGACCATGGACTCTACCGGGACATTCCCCAAGACCTGCGTCGCAACTATGCAAAACTCTGGCTGGCGGTGATCGAAGCCGACGAGATGCGCATGCGGGAGTCCGCGCGCAAAGTTGCCGGTATAACGGATGAGCAATTCCCTCTCTTCGCCAGCGCCATTACTGGACGAGATTACATGGTTCTTAAGAAAAAGGACATCACCTCCGCCCGCACGTCAGCGGAGAGGGAGAGCATGTCCGGTGCACTCGGCGAAGGCATGTTGCAACAACTCGTCGAACTGCTGGGCCAAGTTCCTCGTATCATCCTTCTGATCCTAAAGACAAACGATCTGAGTAAGTCAATGTTCGTCCTGCTAAGCATGGCTACATACAATTAACATATCAAATTCAGCCCGCAGCCTTGACGAAAACCTGCAAACTCGCCAAGGACCCATGCGCACGTTCCTTATTCTCGCACGCTACGCAACTCGCACCGTCTTCGAGGAACAAATGGAAGCTGTTCACGAAACAGGCGGTGTTCTCCGTCCTTCAAACTTCTGGCGGTTCCTTTGCGCATGGACCGGTTTCCTGCGCGTGGAATTGAAGCTTTCTGTCTACGAGGTTCTTCTATCACTGAAGAGTCGCTTTGGGTTGGTATAGAGCACCTTGGTTCACTTCCTCTGTACAGTCTACTACACCCCATCCCGATTTATCTGCATCCGTCCAACTCGCACCGCGAGGAGCCCGCTCTTGAGCTTTCAGTGGGAAGTAATATGCTTTAGAGGTCGTCTTGCAGCTTCGCACGGTTTGTGCATTTTCATGGCGTTCAACCCCATTCTCCTTATTTTGTGGTTCTTGTGCATCTTGGTCCCTGATTTTGGCTTGATAGAATATGTCCTCGAGAAAAGCTAGGTGTATATTTAGTGGCTCAGATAGTATAGAAGGTATGGGTTGATTTCTTCTTTCATCATCAAGCAAGGTGATCCTCAATCTTCAGGTGTCGATTTATCAGATGTACTATACCATGGATGGATGGATGAATGATGATGTCAGTCCGCACTACGTCGATGGTGGCGAATCAGATAAATCCCGCTGCAACAACAGGCAGCACTCCATTCCACATAACTAAGTTGAAAAATGGACAAGGTATGGAAATATTGATATATATTGTAGTTATCACTGAGTCAACTTAATCACAATGGCCTGCCTTATCTTGCCTTGCTTAGCTGGGAGAAAAAAGCTCGCAAAAAAAAGAGAGAGAAAAAGAGACAAAAAAAGAGAAAAGACACAAAATTGCTGTACAGTATTGAAGCGAAGAAACAGACAACTCCGTCCCAGATCCACAATCAAGAAGAAGGAAGAAGAAGAAAAAACAGCGAGCATTTTGTCCCACAGCTGTTGCCTTTGTTTTGTCTCTCGCTTTGAAGCTGCGGGAGACAAGAACCATTAGCTTGGCTTGGCGATCATGACTCGAGTTCCATCATGTATTGCTCAGCATCCAGTTCCAATGGGTCAGGGGGAAAAACGATGCAAGGAAAATAATTCGTATCATGGTATCGCCTTTTCAAATTGTTTTGATTTTGTTGAAGTAGGTATTGATTGTTTTTTTCTTCAAGGTTTTTTTTTTTTTGTCGTATTTAGGCGACAGGGGCCGCCTTCTCGGGCTGAGCATGGAGGTCCGGGATCGAGGCACCAGTACCCGCCAGGTTGGTCTTGACAGCCTTGGGGTTCTTGGTGTAGTAATCGGAGATGGCGGACTTGATGGCATCCTCAGCGAGCATGGAGCAGTGCACTAAAGAGGATAAGGGGAGACGAGTTAGTTGGACAGGAAAGCGTGATGACCATGATATGACACTCTGCCAAAAATACAAAGCGAAGGGGAAGAGAGCGGGGGAAAAAAACATACACTTGACAGGAGGCAAGCACAGCTCCTTGGCGATATCAGTGTTGCGGATCTTGGCGGCCTCGTCGAGGGTCATGCCGCGGACCAACTCGGTCAGGTAGCTGGAGCTGGCGATGGCGCTGCCGCAGCCGAAGGTCTTGAACTTGACGTCGCTGATCACGTTGGTGTCCTTGTCGACGCGGATCTGGAGCTTCATCACGTCACCGCAGGCCGGGGCACCGACGAGACCCGTGCCGACGTCGACGCTCTTGGCCATCGAGCCCACGTTGCGGGGGTTGGAGTAGTGGTCGAGCACCTTCTCGTGGTAGCCCCGGCGCTGCTGCTGGAGAGGCGAGGGGGTGGAAGCGCGCAGGCTCGAGGTCTGGGTCTGCTGCTGCACGCCGGCGACGGCGGGGGCGATGATGCGAGGCGAGAGAACGCCCGCGGCGCGGGGAGCGACTGTTACGAGACGGCGGAACATTGTGGTGGTTGTGTGGAAGTCGTAGAAAAAGAAAAGGGTATCGTGCGGTGAAGTTTTAGGAAGATATGATGGTATTTTTGAGCAGAATAAGTGGTTGTCGTTGATGAGGTGGGAGAAAAAGGGTTGATGAGTTGGGGACGGTAAGGTGTGTGATGAAAGATTGATAGTCGATTGATTTGATGGAGGGAGGGAAAGTTGAACTACTAGCTTTAGTCCGTCCGTCTTATTAACCGGCGCTAGACCCTTTCCAGAAACCCCGTTGCCTCCGCGGACCGGCTTCGGAGATACGAGGAAACGCGGGCTTCGGAATGACGTTGGCTCCCCCGTTTGCTGCAGCTAAGGCAGAGGGGAGAGGTACAGGAAGTGCAGTACAGGGAGGTTGAGTGAGTGAGTGACTGCTGATTTGTATTGTTGGAGCCTTTCTTATCGCGTTGCCGCGACAAGGTTGCCCTCGTACTGAGTAAGTAGTCTACGGAGTACGGAGTACTGTACACTGTACACTTAAGTTAACTACAAGTGCCCGCGGGAAGAACAGTTCGTTCTAGTCTGGATCTGGTATGGCGGGTACTTCGGCCAACGGGAACGGGCTGCAGGCGGCATTACCAAGCAGTGCCAGCACTCAAGGCCTCGTCCCCGGTTCCCGATCCTTACCGCTCGAACTAGTAATCGTCCTGACCTTCATCTGATAATTCTACAGTTCCCAGTCTACCTCGGAACAACCCTGGCCCCGGCTACTGTTCCCCCGAAAGCCTGTCCACACTAACAACAATCGTGGCTGCTGAACATGCAGTCAACTATCTCACTATCAAAACACCCACCCTTCCTATAAGCTTTCTCAAATCATGGCCGGAAAGACATTGGGCCGATCATCGGGGGTAAGTTGACAGGCGTGTAGTACTACTCATTATACTCGTACTGTACTATTTTTTTTTTCCCATTTCTTCTTGTCTCCAAACTCCCATGAGAATGACTAATCGACCACCACGATCACCACAACATCAACCCTATCTGACCATGTCGATCTCCAGTCTCTCAACGCCCCCATAGCCGCCTTCACCATGGCGGTCATCCTCTGCTCTTACTGCATCAGCTCCATCCACACTGCCCGTCGCGAAGCACAGTCCTCTGCCCCCCTCACTAGCACCACCAATTCCCGTCCCAAACGGGCGGACGCTCAACCCTCTTGGGTCCAGCAGGCTTTGGAGGAAAGCCGGGGTGGCAAGGACTGTTGATCTGGGCGCGTACGATTCAATTGCCCGATGTTTACGTCTTGCTTGGAAAGAGAAGAGCTACAGGCTTACAGCTGGCTGGTATGCCTGAATTGGTCTTGTTCTGTAAATAAACCTGTACTTTGCATTCTTGTTTCTCTACGTGGCAGAGGATATATAACTTCCAGGCCGAAGAGTCTAGCCTAGGTAGACAGAACCCGTGTATGTGTATCCGGGATCTGACCTGACCACCACAACAGTGAACAGCTCTCACCACCCACAAAAGATCAGTGACCAGCCGCAGCAACAGTTCCAAGCCCACCCGACATCGAGAAGCAGTATATCCATGAGTCAGAATTTTCAGTGTATGAATAGTCATATCCCAGGCCTTATGAAGACTACCAGGATCTACCATTTGAAAAATGTTCATCATATCAATGGACAAAAGGGTGCTGAAGGATGAGGGAGGGCTGAACGGTCGCTGCGACTTGACCTCTGGAGAACGGATCATGGTGAGTAGGCCTTCATCAAGGCCTGTTGAATGCTGGCTGGGGGGAAATAGCATCATGATCATGACTCCAGAATCGATTCTAGGGAGTGGCGTGCGGTCAATGGCCAGGCATCCCGGATCAACTTGTCGCGATCGACACCTCCGTTGAAGTATTTGCCTCCATCATGGCAGTTTTGCTCAACAGAGTAACCTGAGCAAGGATGCGAGTATGGAAGAGAAGGGAAACCTTTTTGAACGTCGGGGCGGGATATTTAGTTTGTGTATCACGTGACTGTACCGCTTACAGGGAACGTCATTTCATTGGCTGGCGGGGTTGACGATATTCGATTCAAGCATGGCACTGAGTACTGCGTAGTGCTAGGTACGTCCTTGAAGGTTGAACCCTAGAAGCTCATACTGGCAATAGTGGGAAAACTGAACACTGACTAGTATAGGGTTGGAAACAATAGAAAGATACGACAGAGAGGAAAGAGTTGAATGACAGACTATATACAATTGCATTGATGACTTATTCTGTTCATGAAAGGAAAGACGCTCAGTACCACAAAACGGCGAACCACAAGGACAGGACGTGATTGAAACTTCACATGTCAGGGCCCGTCATTTTACCCCGGCACCACCATTGATACAAGGCCGAGGTATCATCCATAGAACAATGTGTAACGTGTAAGCACGCCATAAAGAAAAGCCTTAAGTCTCCTCAACCATCAATGGGCTGACTAGCGGCAAGCAGCAAACACGACTATCCCTCCGTTGCATGTCCCCGTAACAATAATTGAGTAATCTAATATTTATAACGCATCAGAAGAGTCACTGGCTTTGCCCTCTTGCACTTCCAGCTTCAGCCTTCCTTCATGTTGTATATGCGAAATGGCCTTCCGGAGGTATTCATAGGTAAGCATGGTAGTCATCGCAGCCGGAACAGCACGGAACAAATTCGTGCCAATTCCTGAGTAAAATGCACGCCAGCCTTCTTCTCTGAGAATCGTCTGGCAAGTGCGAATAATTCCCGTGTATCGCGGCCGATTGGGCATGCCGTCCGAGGAAGCCGCTCCTGGAGGGCGACCACGATCCGGGGGATGGTCCAATCCACCTCGGAACGCGATTTCCTCGGGTGAGGATGCTGGAGACGTCCGCTGCTGAGTCTGCAGTCTCGTCCGAAGCACTTCGTGTGGATAGGTGACAGTGCTAGCGCAGACCTTGCTAAGAAAAGTAGCAGCAGTGATGCCAATCCAGTGAGAACTGCCGTTGTCAGGATGCTCCCCGATCCCATAGCCGGTGAAAGCCATTTTCAAGTATTCATACAGGGGGAACTGAATGGCAACATGCGTCAAGCCTAGTAGCGCCGGCGTGAGTCCCGAATAGAATGAGCGAATCCCTTCAGTCCTGTACATCTTCCGAGCGGCATCCCAAGTGCTGTTATACTGCCACGGGGCCCGAAGCCCCTCACTACTGGATTTAAGGCTTTGGGACATAAGTCGCGTCTTGATGACCCAAATTGGGTTCGTCGCAAGCGTAGAGCAGGCGCCAGCTGTTAGAGAAGCGTACCCTCTGGAAAGCCACCAGCTGTCTATTGGATAAGGTCAGCAGCGTCATCACTAACAAGAGAGGCTTGTCTTACCAGTAGTCTCGTAGAAATATTCCCGGGAGCGATCGTAGACAGCCAGATAGACAGCCCACGTTGGAAGGTATCCCAGCAGCATGGGACCCAGTCCTTGATATAAGCCTCGAAGTCCGTCTTCCCGCCAAATTACCCTTCCAGTACCAAACATACCCCGATACAGTTCCTTCGTTTCGACCGCCTTGCCGCGCCGCCGTGCGAATCCACCTTGAGCCTGCAGTTTTGTCTTGATCACATCCAAGGGACAGGTCACAATACCCGACGCTACACCCGCACTAGCTCCACAGAAGGGTGTAATCCAGACATCAGGTATGCGCGTGGAGATCATCTCGAGACGATCAAGGAAGGTCGGGTTCGTCAGCATGGGAGGCGGTGTATTGGGCGTGGAGGGCGATGCAGGAACTTGCTGCTCTTGAGAGCCGCTGGCGGCATCCGACGAGCCATGTCCTTCGGAATACATGTTCGCAGCCAGCGCGCAAGCAGTTATTGATTCGTTTTATATGTCACCGAGGGTTCCCGGATCCGAGCATATCGGTGCTCGCTCCGGAACCCAGTATGATCCTTTATCAAATCGTGGTGAAAGGCGGGTGAGCGGCGTCGTTTAGAGCACGGGCGACGAAATGGCGATACTCAAACTGATGAAAGCGCTGATGACACCCCTGTAAGCCGAGGCTGACCAGCGATTGCTTTGATGCGTTGCGAGGTTACCCTGTCGGGGGCACAGACGGGGGCGGGGTCTGGGAGATCGACTCAACGCTCCTATCGGGGTCGGAATGGCAGAACCTGTCAAGCGAAAATAAATTCAGCGAGTGATAATCTCCATGCCTAGCGAGCAATGAAGATTCTAGGGCAATGAGCATAGAAGCTAGTGACTCAAGTGGGAGCAGGGAACTTGAAAGACACGGAAAAGGACGGAGTCGTGTGGGCAAGATGAAGTGAATTGCGTTAGTTAGCAGCAACGCTCTAAGTCAGGTGGAGTGAATCCACAATAGACCGGCACCAAGCGCCGTTGAAGCCTGAGGCATCAGAAACCCACCAGGGTGTCGACAGGGATGCCTGGGGAGCCTATCACGTGAGACATATTATGGACAAAATCGGACAACTATGAGTGCCTCAGGCGCCAACTCGGATGTTTTTGGGAAAGTTCACCCGCCGAACCTCCGTTTTGCACAATCTCCAACGTCGGGTCATCTCCTGCTAAGCTTGCCTTGACATCTCGCAGTCCCTCCCCCGCCACACCACTTTGTCAATTGGACTTTCTCACGCCCGCTGCTGGGATCTATCACAATGTCCGCTCCTTCCGTCACCAACTTCATCGTCAAGCGCCCATGGCTCAAGCGCTGGATGACGCCACTCGCTCAGTGGTACACCGACGCCGCCGGCTACAGAAGACTTGGTCTCAAGTAGGTCTCCTCGCCATTCAATCTGCTCAGACTGGCATCCGATGTGTCTGGTGTACAACAGCGAAGGAGTCCGGAGGGTATACCATCATATTCTCATGATATTCTCTGTGAACCCTGTTCATACCCGCATCGCTGCCTGCCCTGGGCAAATCATCATTCACGTTTCCTTGAAGGGCACCATAAACTGACCGGGCGTAGGGCCGACGACCTGATTCCCGAGGAGAGCGACGTTGTTCAGACTGCTCTCAAGCGTCTCCCTCCCAAGGAGGCCTACGACCGCATCTTCCGTATCCGCAGAGCATTCCAGGTTCGCCCTACCGAAGACCCGATATCACAAAGAAGCAACAAACTAACGAAGCTCGGAAACAGTGCTCCGTCTCTCACACCCTTCTCCCCCCTGCTGAGCAGACCAAGCCCGAGGAGGTGA